ATTTGTTCGTCGTCTAAATTATATTCAAATTCAGTTCATTTGACAGCTTTGGTGGTCGATAGGAGTACCACAAGAGTAAACAAAGGTGTGGCCACTACTCTGTTTAAAACTAAACAATCGCGAGAAAATGGTGATCACCTCTCGGTTCCTATATTTATACGTCGATCTATGTTTAGATTACCGGCCAATCCGGAGACACCTATCATTATGATAGGCCCGGGAACTGGTTTTGCATCGTTTAGAGGCTTTATTCAGCAGCGATCGCATCACAAGCGTAACAATATATCCGTCGGACCAACTATTCTGTACATCGGATGCAGACATAGAAATGAAGATTATTTGTATGAGGAAGAGCTGAACGCGTATTTGGCCGACAATACTATTACCAAATTATACACAGCTTTCTCTAGGGATCAGAACCATAAGGTATATGTCACTCATTTGTTAAGACAAAACATCAAAGAATTGTGGACTTTAATTGGACAACAAAAGGGACACATATATGTGAGCGGATCTGTGCCTACATTGGCCCGGGATGTCAAACATATCTTAATCGATACGTTTATAAGTGAAGGCAATTACACCCCAGAAGAAGCCAACATTTATTTGAAGCAAATGGAGTCTCAGCGCAGATATCTATCAGATGTTTGGAGTTAAGAGTTGTCACATTATACCACATTAATATACTTTACAGTGAATTAATATATAGTTAGTTTAATTTACCAAAACTTGTTGATACAAATAAAATGTAAATTAGACAAATAATCGGACAAATTAAATATAATTTACAATAACAACTGTATGTTTCATATGTTTTATACGTTAAATGCCCCAATCGGCCAATTCTTTCAAAGTATTGTCCATTTCCTCTGATTCTTTGAATTTGGCTTTAGTTTTAGTTCCTATAATGTAATTATTAATTACTAATTAATTATTAAATATTTGAATTTAAATACTTTTTACACAAATGAACAAAGATATGAAAAAATAATAAATAAATATATTAATAAAATGGTCCTCAATGTTGTCCTCCCAATTCTTTCTAATATTCTCATTTCTAAGTTGGAGTTTTGGTCACAATAGATATAATGCATTGCAACCAATATCCAATCTATTGGCACTTCGAGATAAATGTACAGGTGTGGGATCGGGTCAACAGTGATATATAAATAATGATTATATACAAATCTAACATTGATTGGTAGCGAGAAAATAGGTTCACATCTTAAAAAGGGAAAGTTATCTCAAGTAGAATTCTCATTTAGTCGATCGGGGGCAATACAATTATGGATACAATAATGTAATAATAATGTAATATTGAGTATTAAACGGTTATTTGAAATTAAAGTTATGACAGCAAGACTATATGTATGTCAATAAATTTTAAATCACAATTATTAATCAAATGCTATTTATACTAAATTTTAGGTATTAATGAGATAATATGAATGTTGATACTTTAAAATTTGAAATAATAGATATTTACGTGAATGCGAGGGAAGTGGTTGTGCTGTGGGAACAGATGGCAGCCTATCTGTGCTAAGCAGTTGCTGATCGAGTTCTTGTTGTTCCAATTCCTCCAACTCTTGGAGCAGTTCGTCGTCGTCGCCAACGTCTTGTCCAAAGCCGACGGGATTTGATATAAGATCACTGATCTCTTGTGCCAACTCCTGTTGTTCTCTGATATCGTCCATAACGTCCTGAACCCTATCGACGTCTCCGATGGTGTTTTGGGCCACTTTGAGAGCGTCGGCGCCGTATTTCATGGACTGAAGGACCTGAACGTTAGTGTTTGCGTTCTCCAGAGATATACGCTGCGACTCGAGAGTGGTTAGAGTGCCATCGATTTGTTGCAATTGACTTTCCAATCGCTTCTTCCGCTTTAACGCTTGTAATGACACCTTTTTATTTCTCGTCCCATTCTTTCGAATTATTTCCACTTCTGTTTCAATCTTTTTCTCCAAATATGTCTGCTTTTTGTTAAGCATTTCCTCGACATTTCTTAATCTATATCATCGATTGTAACACATATTAACACATATTTATATCAAATATATTATTTTAATAAACTAGTAAATGAATAATCAAATAGTAAACAAGCCTTTGTATGGCATCTGCGGCCGTCGGACCAGACGGCTGGCGCTTCTTTGGTTTAGAGTTAAATATTTTAAACATTTTTAAATTTACAAAACAATGATTTTATTATGAGTTTAAAACATACAATATGACTGATTTCTAATTATTTGTAGTTTGTAATGAAATCATTGTGTTTGTGACGAACATATATTTTTTGGTTTCTTAGGAATCAAATAATTGCTACGAAACGATATAATGTATATATTTATCATACATATAGTCATTCTTTATACCCGAAACTATAGCCACTATCACATCACTCATGACTTTAATTTTTATTTTGGTAAAATTTTTTATAAATATCAAATTCTTCAGTTTTACTTTATATAATTTTATTATATATGTATACTAACAGTTATACTGTAAGTTTTTGAATGCCCACTCTTTGATTGCGCACATTTGCCCAGTGATAGCTTTCACTGTATTATCTGCTATAAAGTAAGAAGTTCTTACTAAGAACAATACAGTGAAAGCTATCACTGGTTAAATGTGCGCAATCAAAGAGTGGGCATTCAAAAACTTATTACTGTAATTATTAGTTTAAAATATTTTATTTCAATTATTACTTATTTACATTAATTATAATTATAATTTGTTGAATTAATTATGTTTATAGTTAAAAATGCTTATAATGATCTAAGGCCCTAAGTAATAATAGTTTAGAATCTAATGAATATTATCTAGTGAATATTATATACAGTATTTCACATATATTTTGCATCAATCTAAAGTTTAGATTGATGCAAAATATATGTGAAATATATAATATTCACTAGATAATGTTAATTCTATGAATTATATTTTGTAAACAAGTTTAACGTATATTTATCAATTGATGTATGATAAAATTATAAACAAATATTAAGTGCTTTATTAATCATTTTGGTTTATATAATTTTATTTAAATTTTTAAAAATAATAAATTATATTACAATAATTTGCAATTAAGTGTTAATTTTAGTAAATTTACAAAATATAACAAAAGTAAAAATAATAATTCCTATTAAAAAGAATATATGGTTTACATCTGAAGGCTCCAAAAGGGCGGCCAATAATAGAAATGGCATTCCTTTATAATAATTTAATTAATTAAATATTTTTAGAAAAACATTTAAATAAAATTAATGTTATTTCAAACCTGAACCACATCTTACATGAAACCGATAGTGATTACAAGCCATTATACATTACTTATATGTTATGTCAATTAGAAATTTTAATTTAACCAAATTAATTTTTGTTTTTATTATTGAATTAATAAGTCAATTAAGTATAATATGTAAAAAACAATATATTATATTAATTAATAGTTATTTAAATTAATTTCAACTCAATTCACTCAGTTATTTGTTATGTTTGCTAAAATAAGTCACAAATCAATACTTTATATTAATAAATAAGAAAACATAAAAATTGTTGTCAAAGTGATTAGAAACAGCAAAAGCCACAACATTTGCAATCATATACTTGTATGCAAATTATATCAAATCAATTGCAACTAAATTATGATTCTATCATTCACTTTTTCTGTCTTTTTATTTACAATTTTTATGTTTTCTTATGTATTATGGTAATAAATTACTAATAATAATAATTATTATTATTATTATTAATGAACAGTTTAATTTCTTGATGTTCAATCCTTAATATAAACGAGCTGCTTAAATATTACTTCGAGCATTTTTGTTCCCCACGTTTTATACTAACAATTGACTATGGTGGATTGTTTAAAGAATAAACTGGTGTAAACTTAATACAATATAACGGTAATAAATAATAAATGTTGGACTTTTGACAAAACATTTTAAAGGCAAAATGCACTCTTTAATTATAAAAATATAAATACATACATATACTGTATTTAAAACATAACTCAATTGATTACAATATATAGATAACTACAATAATATTTAATAAATGATTTTAAAGAATAATAAACTAATTTACAGAATATTCAACATTTATTGAAAAGTAGTGTTGATTATAAACCTTTAGTGAGAGACATATCGAAAGACAATTCTATGTCATTGAAAGTATTGAGTATTTGATGTAAAAATGTAATAAGAGTTATGTCTCGTGTAAATGAATAGTTTTCGTAGAATAGATGAGTGAGTGATGGCCGACAAAGCAGTTGAAAGAATGCAGGTATCAATTGATGATCACTAAATAACAAATACACTTTTAGATTAAATACAACAACAATGAATCAATTCATAAATACCGGAT